ATGCGTTTTTCTTATGATGTTATTGACCTCAGCGAAATGTAGCCAAAAAAGTACTCGCCTCTGACAACATGGCTGTGTCTCTCGCTCATTCTCGGCTGATCATACCAGAATGCTAAGCTCTCCCTGTTGCTTGCAAGTCACCGACTTACTACCCTTTTCTCAGCTTGTTGCGCTGTGGCCACTTTGGGGTAGCTCCTTGCTCAGGCGAATTCACGATTAAGATGAACATTGTGCCTTGACCTGATTCGAACCCGCCATTTCCAGAGATACAAGCCGACCTTTCTAGGCATTGTGTCACCATCTACCTTTAAGACCTCTCTCGCCCCCATTTGACACCAAAATATTTTATGTTCTGTTTGTTTTTGAGGATGCTTGTTGCATTCTCTGAATTTATTTGAGGTTTTGCATGTGATGCATCATAAAAGGATTTCTATTAGTAATATAACAAATTAGCAGTTAATACTTATATGGTTTGAACTACTAGTAACTATTTATGTGAAGAAAAAGAATTGCAAAATGCGGCAGTTTTCGATAGCTTTAAAGTTCCCTGAAAATTTGGTTTTAACCCACCAACAAATGAACTATATTAACTTAAAACTGGTTCCGTTAAATTTTATCTCCCCTTCTGGGCAGCCCTGCCGAAGTAAGTTATGCGCCAGTGTTCAAAAAATGCATGGTCATTCCGAGATTCTAAACAAACGAAAGCCTGAAAATTTTGTGCGTGTTGAATGCTAAAAACGAAATTATAGGAAAAAGAATGTGAAGAGACAGCGGAGCAGCGCAAATCAGAGGTTTGACATTGCTAAACATATCTGCTTTCGAATTTTTCTATCTTTTCACGGTTATAGTCAGAAAACTATGGACGGCAGGAAGAAGAACTGACGCAAATTGCGGAGGCCGTAGAGAAGCTTCAGCCGAAAGGTCATACTTTGGAAACTACAAATGTATGTGATATTTAGTTGCTTTATATTTTGTATTAATGTGCCAAATGATGGCTCCTTCAGGTTGTTACACCGATTCCATTTCTCCTGAAGCATTCGCTCAGGGAATATCAGCACGTTGGTCTTGATTGGCTAGTGACTTTGTTTGAACGCGAGTTAAACGGTATATTGGCCGACGAGATGGGCCTTGGCAAGACGATCCAGACCATCGCATTATTAGCTCACCTCGCTTGCGCAAAAGGCATCTGGGGTCCCCATTTAATCGTCGTTCCTACTAGTGTTATGATCAACTGGGAAATGGAGTTGAAAAAATGGTGTCCTGCCTTCAAGATCCTTGCTTACTATGGTTCGCTCAGAGACCGCAAGGAAAAACGTAAAGTAGGACTTTCAACTCAACTGTTGTTTATGCTGTCTTTTTTTTCATGACGCAAAATTTTATTTTTCACTAGGGATGGTCGAAACCGAACGCTTTCCACGTGTGCATCACGTCATACAAACTTGTGCTGCAAGATCATTTGATGTTTCGTCGCAAAAAGTGGGAATATCTTATCCTAGACGAGGTGCGACGTAATGCTATGTCATTCGTTACCGTCGTTTGATCTAATTAAACACGATTGGTTTTACTCGAATTATCAATGTTTATTTTCAGGCGCAGCATATTAAAAATTTCAAGTCACAACGTTGGCAAACACTTTTGAATTTCAACGCCAACCGTCGACTGCTGCTCACTGGCACGCCATTGCAGAATTCATTAATGGAGCTATGGTCTTTGATGCACTTCCTTATGCCTCATATATTTGCGTGCCACTCTGACTTTCGTGATTGGTTCTCAAACCCTCTGACAGACATGATCGAAGGTTCGGTCGGTTTTAATGAGCAGATCGTCACGCGACTTCACAAGGTGCTACGGCCGTTTCTGCTACGTCGACTGAAATCGGACGTCGAAAAGCAGTTGCCGAAGAAGGTCGAACATATCGTCAGGTGCCCGCTGTCCAAGCGCCAGCGTTACCTTTACGATGATTTCCTGTCAAGGTCGTCCACTAAAAGTCAGATCTCGTCCGGCAATGTCATGTCGGTCATCAACGTGCTCATGCAGCTGCGGAAGGTGTGCAACCACCCGAACCTTTTTGAACAGCGACCGATCATCTCTCCTCTCGTCGTACTTCGTCTACGTTGTAATTTTCCATCAATGTTGCGACGCATTGCGCCGACTGAGGTACGAATCTTATTCGGGGAAAGCAGCCTGTCGTTACTGACTTTGCTGACC